GATATTACCAGAAACAGATTTTTGAGAAAACAAAATATTACCAGCAATAAAAAAATTTTGTCGCCATTAAATAACCCATTGAGTTTGATACACCATAAAACAAAATAAACCAAACCAATCTAAAGCAAAGAATACATATTCTATTCATACGAATCTATCCTAAAAATGTTGTCGACATTAAATGACCCATTGAGGTTGATACACCATAAAACAAAATAAACCAAACCCTTTCCACACCCCCACACGAAACACTGCTAGCATCTTACTATACTATGGCACATGTTCAAACTAGTTACCTTTCTTATCCCACCAGCTCAGACCTTCTCAGCTAAGACTCGTTATGCCATGTTCATGGTGTCATACCATGTTCATTATCCCTCATATTCCATTGCTAATATGCAAGTGACACTGTGACAACTTCTTCCTCCAGAATTGTTACTTTGTGAAACAAATACTTCTCCAACCACAAGAATTTTAACTTCTTCAAGTCTAGGGTTAACTGATTCTATCCTACATATTTTCATAATATGCACTTTTTAATTCTTCCTCCCCTCTCCACCATTACGCATTTACAACAATCTCACTCAGGAAGAGACTTTACCTTCAGTGGCTCTTGAAGCTTATTTTCCTGAAAGACTGTTTTAAGAGAAAGATTTCATAAATTTTTCAACTGACTGTAACTTGTAACAAAGGCCGAATATTTCCTTATAAGTCAAAGGCTCATCATACTCTATTACCATAGTAAAAATTTTAACCTCATCTCTGTGAACAATTAGTTTATTAAGTAGTAAAAATTACAGTGACCTTGTTGAAAGATGAAAAGATATAGCACTGTATTATTCCATTTAGTGAGATACAAATATTGATAGACGACACTGTCTAGATAAACATTTTTAATATATCATACACCTCAACTTCGCATCGAAGTCCTGGGGATTTATATATATATATATATATATATATATATATATATATATATATATGTGTGTGTGTGTGTGTATGTATTTTAGATGAGGTATTATGTACACTATTTACATAATTCTATCTATTGTCCTCATCTTTGGTGCCATATTTATCACGTTTTGGCTATTGTACGCTCTGGCCTTCTTCAGGTGGTTGGAATGTCGAACCGAATCCTTTATTTCCTTCACTGGGGAAGACTGTTCTAGTTCCATATGCCATGTCTAATGGATGTCAGTTATCAGTTATCTCCTGTTAATTCCCCTCTCCAAATTCTCCACTCCAATACCAGGTATTGAACTCACACCTCTTTGGGTCCTGTCACTGGATTTAACCAACGCCTTTATCCAGTGTGCCATGTGCCCTTAAGTGAGTTCAATACCTGCTTAAGGCAGTGAAGAACCACCTGAAGAAGGTTGGAGTGTACGACCGAAATGTGATAAATATGGCAACAAAGATGAGGACAATAGTCTGAATTATGTAAATAGTATATCTATCTCTACATCTCTCTATCTCTATCTCTCTATCTCTCTATCTCTACATCTATCTCTATATCTCTACATCTATCTCTACATCTCTACATCTATCTATATATCTATCTATCTCTATATCTATCTATATCTATCTATATCTATCTATCTCTATCTCTCTATCTATCTATCTATCTATATCTCTCTATCTATCTATATCTATCACTATCTCTATTTATCTCTATATCTATATATAGGAGAGAAAGTTTTGCATGCCATTTAATGAGTATTTTTCTAAGTTGGATAAATTGATAGAATAATAAATTGCTTAATTTAAAAGAAAAATCTCACTGTCTTTTAAAAACATTCACTTAAATTCACACAATGTAATGAAGGTGTTATATTTTTTACAGTATTTACATTAGTCGGACTATTGTCCTCATCTTTGTCGCCATATTTGTCACAACGTTTCGGATGTTGTATGCTCCGGCCTTCTTCAGGTGGTTGGAATTTTGAACTGAACCCTTTATTTCGATCACTGGGGTAGACTGTTCTAGTTCCACGTGCCATGTTTGATGGATGTCAGTTATCAGTTATCTCCTGCTAATTTTCCCTCTGAAAGTTCTCCACTGCCTTAACCAGGTATTGAACTCACCTTCTTTGGGTCTGTCACTGGATCTTGAGGACACATGGCACAGTGGATAAGGTCTATGTTTACTAATGCAACATTCATTATTTATAAGATGTATTATTTTCCACACAGGTGACGATTATACCAATTGATTGAAATAAAGAGAAATTTTTTTTTTCTTCTTATGATAACAGGAGGCGTTACTTGTTGCTAATAAGTATACATACTCCATGTTAATGTAACAATGAAATGCATTTAGTAAGTCGGGGAAATCCGGCTACTAATACATTGCTTTGTACTTTTATTTTGTGAATTCTTTCTTTGCAGGTTTTTACTCTAAATGATTAAAAAATACTCATAGAAAATATAAGTAGCGGCAGAGCCAGTGGGTAGAGATTTAAAAAATGCCTAATCTTACCTATGCCTAATGGGTTCAATTCAAAATGAAAATAACTTATTTCAGAAACTGACAAAGATGATCAAAGATTTTAGGCAGGTAATAACTTCGTTTTCTTTTTGAAACTAGGAAATGTCAATATTTATTCCATTTATCCAAACTATGATCCTTATTCCCATTATTATAAATTTTTATACATGACGTTTCAGATGGTCCTCTCCAAATCTTCATTTTTTTTTTTTTTTTTTTTTTTTTTACACACAAACACACAATATATATATCATTTAAATAAATAAATAGAAATGGAAACCTGTACATGGCCATAGATTAATTGACTGAAACATTGGGCCTATAATAATATCAATAGTGTGAATAAACTAAATACATCATAGTATATTTTTATGCATTTCCTTAATAAAGTTCCATCACAGGTTATATAAATGCCAAAACTCACACGTTAGAAAAGTCCTTTTGTCCGGAGTTCATGTTAATAATAAAAACCTACGTACATATATCAGGGGTCTCGGTATCAGGTAATGGTTACCGAGCTAGTTTGAGTGTTAATATCGGGTAGAAAGTTCGACCATTACTGGTATAATTCCATAAAGGAAAACACAAAGATGGTTATCTATGTTATAAGCCTTTACTTATACTCTGTACATTTCAGGAAGCAGTAACAAAGCCCCGACTAACAGACATGTCTTATAAACCCCAGCAACAAAAGAATTAATTTTACTAGACGAATCTGTTTCAGTATACAACGTTATCCTATTAATTCATATCCAATTTACAGGTATTAAAAAGTTATTTGGCACATTTATTAGCATCTTAAAAAAAAAAAAAAAAAAGTCATAAATTTATAGCTCATTCATTGTCAAGTAAAAAGAACCTGATATTTTTTGTAATATTTCATCAGTTGCTTGAATGTTATAATTTCATATTTTGCAACAAAGTTATTTTAGTTCAAAAAGAAAACAGGATATCAGTTGTAAGCCTTTATTTACATTTCACGAAGCAGTGATGATTTCAAACTAAGTAAACCCACTAGTTTGATGGCTTATGAACCCTGTTAACAGAAGTCTATTTTACTATATAATACTTACCGAGTGCTTAATACTTGTGGCCTTGTGCCAAACTAAGCTAAGCCTAATAAATGTTGATGATATAAAAGTGTGTATTTTCAATCAAGGCAAGAGTACCAAGTGACCAAGCACTCGACCAGAAAAGTCTTAATCATCGAAGAAAAGTGGTTTCATTCAAAAGAACGGCCAACTTTTATTGCTGGGGTCGATTAAATAAGAAAAAAAAAATCAAATCATATTCTGCAAGGAAAAAAAAATCTTTCAACTCTTTAATGAGAAGGCAATTGAATACAGTTTTGTTTCAACTTGAATTGTAGCTTCCACACCCATTATGTTTAGCCCTCAAATTGTTTTTGCCTTGCACCCAACCCCCACCAAACAACTCCATCAATTTGGGAGTTTTACAGCAGGAGTATTGTTTGAGTGCAGAGTGGTGGAAGCTTGACTTCAATGTTATTTAAAAGAAGATTAGATGTACTGTATGCCCTGGGATCAAATGTAGAAAATAAGAAAAGGAAAGGCAAGAGAGATTGGGACGTTGAGAGAGAGAAGGAGGAGGAGAACAGTGAGTGAAAAAAGTGAGAGACTAAGAATAAGAAAGGGGGTGGAAGAGCACAGCAGAAAGGATGGACAGATGGGAAAGAGAGGGAGGGTAGAGGGAAAGAGGGCGACAGAGGGAAAAAAGAGAGGGCAGGGTGACAGAGAGAGGGCAGAGGGGAAAGAGAGAGGGCGACAGAGAGAGGGCAGAGAGAGAGAGAGAGGGCGACAGAGAGAGAGAGAGAGGAGAGAGAGAGAGAGAGAGAGAGGAGCAGAGAGAGAGAGGGGACAGAGAGAGAGGAGAGAGAGAGAGGCAGAGAGAGAGAGAGGGCGGAAAGAGAGAGAGAGAGGGGACAGGAAAGAGAGAGAGAGGGCGACAGAGAGAGAGAGAGGGCGACAGAGAGAGAGAGAGAGGGCGACAGAGAGAGAGAGAGAGGGCGACAGAGAGAGAGAGAGAGGCGACAGAGAGAGAGGGCTACAGAAAGAAAGAGAGAGAGAGAGGCAGAAAGAGAAAGAGAAGGACAGAAAGAGAGGGGGCGACAGAAAGAGAGAGAGAGGGCAGAAAGAGACACAGAAAAGAGAGAGAGAGGGCGACAGAAAGAGAGAGAGAGGGCGACAGAAAGAGAGAGAGAGGGCGACAGAAAGAGAGAGAGAGGGCGACAGAAAGAGAGAGAGAGGGCGACAGAAAGAGAGAGAGAGGGCGACAGAAAGAGAGAGAGAGAGAGCGACAGAAAGAGAGAGAGAGAGAGCGACAGAAAGAGAGAGAGAGAGAGAGACAGAAAGAGAGAGAAAGACACAGAGAGAGGGTGACAGAAAAAGATACAGAGAGAGGGCGATAGAGAGGAAAAAGACAGAGAGAGGGCAAAGAGAGAAACAGGTAAATTGAGTTAAGAAAGAAAAGCTAATACCAAACACATGGGAAACCTTTATTGGAAAAGCCAATATAATATTGACAGAAAAAAAAAAAAAAAAAAAAAAAAATCGCAAAATATCAAATCAAATATTAAATGAACAGAAGATTCTAGATTGAATTAATCTTCGTGACAATGCAGAAAATATGTGACCAAATTTCAATCCATTGTGTACAGACCTAAGATTATTTCAATGAAGAACTTACTTTCTTTGATATCACCCAGTGATTTGGAGGCCAATAGAGAGAGAGAGAGAGAGATAAAATTAATAGTGGATTAAAGTGTTGGTTTGTGAATTTGGTGACAAAGTAATTGCATGTTCAATCCTTGGGCCAGTGTGTATTTGGACACAGTGGAAACAGGGCCTGCAATAACAGAGCAGGACTAAATAAGAATTAAATGAGTTATCTCCCCTAGACATGGTCAGCAGAATGAGAACAATCTACTCCTGTAGATTAAACAAAGGAGGCTTCATTTTGCAATTTTCTGAAGGTTAGGTAGATTAACAAGTATCTGAAGAAAGCTGAAAGGCACAATGACTGAAACATTGTGATAATAACAATAAAGATGGGGACAATCGTTCAAGTGTAAATAATGTCACTGCCTTAACCCAGAAATTCAGATACAAAATATTCCTAAGTAAACTTGTTACATGTTTACATAATTTGCAAAACCATGTCGAAGTTAGTAAACATATATTGAGTCATTCATTTTTTATGGCTTATCAACCCTTTGCAGGTCGTTTAATACCAGAAAATATTTTTTAGATTTTAAGATTTTTTGAGATAATAATAATGGTTTAGTGATATAAGTCTTACTAATTAACCCATAGCTAAGGGGAGAAGAGTTGGATTCATACCTTTGCCGGGGCATTTGCATGTAAGTGAATATAACAAACCCAACTGGAATTGGAACTCAGCTCTTTGATTAAAAATTCTGAGCAATTATTCCTTACACCACCTGCACATCCAAATTTACAACAGCTGGTATTCACAAATGGTCACCCATCTAGGTACTAACCAAGCTCGATGTTGCTTAACTTTGGTGATTGTACAGGAGTCAGTGTTTCAATGTCGTGTGGCTGTAAGCCAGCAAAGATATAGGGTCAGAACATAAGAAAATCAACTTAAAAAAAAAAAAAAAATAACTATTAGCAGGTTTTTATAGTTAGGGGCATAAGGCTGATGCAAAAGTTTCTAGTATATATTTGCCAATGTTTTATTCATAAATGACAGAACAATGCTGCAGTTAGATCATACTGTCACATTTGCAACAGGACAGGTGTTGTCATGCAACAAAACACACAACTGACTTTCTCACTCATTAAAGAAGATCTCTTACCCAATGTGCTATTGAAATCAACAACTTACTGTAGCATTAAACAGTAACAGTTTGTTATGAATTGTTGGAATCTAGACAAAGAATTCCTTTTCAATCCCAATAAATAAAGAACTCTTCTTTTTTTTCTCTCTCTTAGATTTTATTTAGGTTCTGCCTCCTGCCTGGTCATTTCATCAGTGACTAAACCAGTTCTGTCATTTGCTTTTTTTGTGAGGATGGTGGCTAGACATCCAACAGGATTGATAAGACAGGTAGATGAACATTCTTGTAGGGGTCAACAGCCATCTAGCACAATTGGAGCTCTATAGCTATGGATACATTCAGTGTGGTGATGACATGGCATCACTGGGTAGAGGGCTTCCTAGGCTGAAGAATGGTGGAGAGTTTCCCTGATGGAAGAAATGACCTTGAGTCTATAACCAACATGAGCATTTAAGCTGGTGTGGTTCGACCTAAAGAGGGATAGACCTGACCAGGTTTACTTGCCTAAGAGACACTACGCACGAATGACTAACTCTCCTGTTTTCAAGCCAGATAAGTGGAAGGAACTGATTAGTGACACTACATGTTGTCATACGATGATAATTTAGGCTGACACGTTGAAAGCTTCCTGGATCGAGCTAGTTTTCTTCATTCCATAATAAATCCATTTTTTAAATGCCAGTAACTGTCTTGAAAAAACAATTTTTCTCTATATGAAGAAAAAAGTAAATGTAAATTCTAACTGATTTTCCTTTTTAGATGTTCGTATGGAACTAATTTTCATAGTTTTTGAAAGTCTCCTAAGTTAGCCTACTGCACACGCAATCTTAAGAGACTTTTTTGCTTTAATCATTCACCCCATGTAAGGTGATAAAGCCACTAAGATGCAAGGGGGTCACAGAGAGAAAGAAACTGAGATAACATTGAGAAGAGAGGACAATAAAAACAGGATTTAAAAAGACATGAAGCTGGAAGAGAGTTCCACAGGTGAGAAGAGTGTTAGAGATGAAACTATTTACATAGCAATTATGGTTATATCGAGAAATTTCAACAGCAATATGATCACACCTAGCTACCAATCTAACATTGCATTTAAATTCATGAAGACAAAGTAACAAAGAGGAAAGATTATCTGAAAAGTAGCCACAAAAAATATTTACAAGGGAAAGGGCACATAAAACTGTTACAGTTGTAGGAAAGTAATTGAAGTCAAGATGCCAGGTTAGTACCAACAACAATGCAGATTCTTTGGAATTTATCAAGAATCACTAGATATATAGAAAAAGCAAGAGATATACGTCAGTAATATTCAGTGCATGGAACAGACAAATGATATTTCCCTAAAATTGGTCAATAGAAGGAAATGGAAACTCGCATACACATTATACAAGGTGCAAAGAATATATTGTCACCATTTTATATTTTTAATTTTGTGCATGGACATTGTTTTTGATTTTATCTACTGCACAGTATAGTTAGGCACCATATGTGAGAAAAAGAACACTATGACGCAATTCACTCTGCTAGAAATTTGGAAACTTTATGCAATCGCATTGGAATCTTCAATAGAAACATTTCAGAGTGTTTGGGTGCCAATCTGAGGACAGTGCAGAGGATTCAGAAAGAGCTGGATGAATCTAAAGGTGATTACGAAGGTGCTTGGAGGGATCACTAGTGATGGCAATGTTATGGCCTCTGTTTATCTTCCTACAGAGCCTCAGGCTCAATATGGAGGCCTACATCAAATGCCTTGAGGAAGTAGTGCTGTGCTGTGTCAAGAGGATGGTGGTTGGAAGAGCCCATGTCTGGTAACAGGACTATGCATCACGCTAGACAAGCAGGAGAAGCCAGACATGACTGTCAGACAATATCTGCAACCACATCGCCACATACATCTGGCCACCTAACTCCCCAGACTGCAACCCCCTTGTGTGGGGTGCAGTTAAGTAAGACACCAACAAAACTCCTTGTATCACCAAAAAGGAACTGAAGCAAGGATTTTGGCAGCATTCGCTAACTTAAACAAGGAGACCATCCAGAAGAGTTGCAGGAGATTCCAAAGTGGTTTGGAGGCTATGGTTGAAGCCAATGGCAAAATTTTACTCTAGTATTTCAAGATATTTTTGCATAATTTTGGTAAATATATCTGTTAAAAGGGGATGTCAGTGTTATTTTAATTTTTGCATTATATATATATATATATATATATATATATAAATAAATAAATATAAATTAAATATAAAGGATAGAATCCAGATAGAACTCAATGTCCAGGACAAAGTAAGAATATAATATAAAAGGCTCAAACACTAATATTCCATGGTTATAATTTATTACATTGGAATCGTAATCACAATTCAATTTATTAGACATACAAAGCCTTATATATATATATATATATATATAATAAAAAGGCTTAAACACTAATATTCCATGATCCAATGGTATAAATTATGACCATATAATATTAGTGTTTAAGCCTTTTTATTATATCCTTACTCTGTCCTAGACATTGAGTTCTACCTGGATTCTTCCTCTTGGAAAATTTTTTTTCTGAAAATATACATGTATAGGTATTTTTATATATTTTTTATATATATTTTGCATATGTATGTATATTTTCCACTAATATTATCAATATATATATATATATATATATATATATATTAGTCCCTGCTGTTAAGGGATTAAGAGTTTTACTGAACAATGTGCACAGGGGAATTGTTTAGAGTGGTCAATTGCCCGAGTGCCACATGAAGCTACAATCACAGGTTTATTTTCTTGGCAAGGTGGTGGTGGTGGTGGTGGTGGGGATACAAGATTTCCATCTCCTAGCTGCATATTGGCAGTTGGGTATTATAAGAAACTCATTCACCCTTTGCCAACACTCTCTTGACTGGTTTAAATTCAGTTTCCCTTCTCCTAAATTGTTATTTACTCATAGGTGAAGTGGGGAGAGATGGATTCATGCCTTCCCCAAGGGTATTTGTATGTAAGTGAATGCAACAAAGTCAATTGGAATTCAAACTTATTTCTCAGATTTCTCAATATACATTATAGCAATCCTATATCCAAGCTTACAGCACCTGGCATATATATAAAGTTATATATGAGTAGTTTTTAAGAAATCTATGTAACACTTATGCAAAAATGAAGATGACCAACTTGCAAGCAGACATTTCTGTTTGATGCATCTTTGTCAAATAATTGCAAGAAATCCAAACCTTTTCAACTGTCCAAACTATTTTCACCTCCATCCAACAAAAAAGAAGAAAAAGGAAGTACAAAGAATTCAGTTCACTTTCAGCATCACTTGGCCAGAGAATCACTTTTCAAAGGCTTCAGTGAAAAAAGAAAGCTTTGGTTATGTTCAAAAAGATGAAAAGAGCGAAAAAGAATGAGGAGAGGTAAATGAAAAAAAAAAAAAAAAAAAAGAGAGAGAGAGAGAGAAATCAATGTGCAGAGGTAGGAAAACAGACAGATCAAAGTTGTTGAAATTAAAGATAAAATAAAAGCAATGACACAAGAGATCTTAATGCCTTTTCTAGTCTCTATTTTCTCTTATAAAAGTTCTATCCAGAGACCATTATCCATCTTAGCTAAGTGGGTAGATTTCATGGCATCACATGTTTATGAATATTAAAGCATTAGCACAAAGAGTAGAAGGCTATATCAGAAATAAACCTACATATAATGAAAGAAAAATGTGTGTGTGTGTGTTATGCCCTCTGACCTTTTTTTTTTTTTTTTAAATCTTAGATGTAATCCTGAAATGTCTTCAAAGCTTACAAGAAAGGCAAACAACGAAAGGCAAACATTCCCACCCTTCATATATTATAGAACTTTTCCAATAGAGAACGGAATTAAGGAAACTGATCCAGGGTAGAAATAAAAGTGGTTTCTTTCAGAAGAGTAGTAACTTGGCAAAACAAGATATATACACAAGTGCATACAAATACATGGCTGCAATATATTTCTGGCCTTTTGTGCACAAAGGCAAGAAACCAAGACAAATTAAGCTCTGTTCAATTGCATGAGCAAACATTCAACGAGGCTATCTCCTCAAGACAAAAAGACATCCTTTTATACAGATTTTCTTATATGTATTGATGCACCACAAGCATTCATCTTTAGCTTCTATACACAAAAGTCTATACATATGACAATCCTGTTCTGTCTAACATGTGGCTTTGATCTCTGACAATCCTTTTCTAATTTTCTGTGCATATATATAAGCTGCAAAATCTTGCTCAGAAATATTTTAACCCAGAAAAAAAATTAGTTAGAAAATCAAATTCTATTCTTTAAGTACTAATGTTACTACAACGATTAATTATTTAGTAATAGCTGTGTTAATAACTTTCATCTTGTTAGTCTGAAACTAACACTCAATAGTGGGTTATTATCAATTCTTCTGTGAGGGACTAAAATGTACCTTTTGAGTAATTTTTTTTTTTTCTTATATTTTGTTTTCTTGCAGAAAAAGATTAAATTTGTCAATATTCTTCTATTATACTTCATAAATCTTTTGCATATCTACAGAAAGTTAAACATTTATTTTCCATATATACTTTTAGAATTTGATATGTTTGTATATGTTATTAAATATCCTACCTGTGATATACCGAGTTTCACAAACAACAATGAAATAAAGACTTTCTAATAGAAGGGTGTCAATGTAACACAATACAGAATTTATGCAAAATAGCACCTGCCATAGGCCAATAGCTAACAAGTTAGTCAGCAAATGCTAATAAGT